GTGTCATGAGTAATATAAATACCATTTGGTATCATGATCACCATACAGTAGCTAGAGTACCATGAGTACCAGTTTGTACCATGAATATCATTTGGTACCATTTGGTGCCATGGGGACCATGAGAACCATGTCCTCGGAACAAATTGATCTATAACTCGCTTCAAAATTGAGCTGGAAACTTGATTTTGGCTGCAAAAGTTTTTGGTTACAACTTGATTTTGGTTGCATTTGGTTTTCACCGAGTTGAGTTTTGGTCAAGGCTGTGCAAAATGGCGGCCGGCCGCGGCCACGGCCAGCCGCGGCTAGCCTGATAAAATCCCGTGAAGTGAAACCTAGTTTTTTTGAAAGATTGTGAACGTATAGTCTACTTGCGCGCGCCGCTCATCACCTCTAGCTAGCCGCGCCCTCGGAGCAAACAAGACTATAACTCGCTTAAAAGATGAGCTAGAAACTTGATTTTGGTTGCAAAATGTGGAGTAAAAGTTGGTTGAATGGAAAATCACCTAACAATGGAATCCTTGCAGTTTTTGGAAGGTCGGCAGCTAGAATCACCAAGATAAAAGTCATTGCCATAATGTTGGTAAGGCCGACCGTAATCTGAAATTTATCGAAATTTTGTGGCTCAGAATTTGGCAATATACCTTCTCCCCAACATTCTCGATATTGATAAAAAGAGCAATTATTGATAAGAAATTGATAAAATAAGCGGGGACCATCACAAGAGCCACATAGAAACTCGGATTTCTTTGGAATCGAGCTATGAACCTTTGAGTTTCTCCTAGATTGCCGTTATTCTCTTCAGCTACTCCGATATATGTTACTTTCCATTCTCCGTTTCCCTGAAAATTAGAAATCTTAGAATTCGGGATATCCGTTGACTCCCAAGCTCACCAATTGCGACAATGGTTTTGACAACTTTTCCATCTCTCCTTTAATTTCATACTCATGGCGAAATATGTGTGAAAGAGCACACTAACACCACATTCGTGCTGGTCTAGTGGAAATTTAAAGACCTGCAGATCAGAGTGTTACTGTAGTTTTAAAATGGGTATGTTACGTCTAGTTGGCAAATCACAGACGCTACGGTAGATGTGTAGAAGCCAGCAGTGCCGTTGTAGTTGATCTGAGAATTTTGAGTTACTGAATGTTTTCGAGAATAACATACCCATGCAGTTCGTGGAGCGTCATCTGATTCGAAGAACTTCACTTCGTGACTGAAAACTTGGTTCTCCTAGAAATTACTAGTAAGAAGTTAATATTGTACCATTATTACGGTAGCCATGGTACATATGGTACCCCGATACTAATTTTTTTATAGTACGAATGTTATTCATAGTTTTTATACCTATTCGACCTATGGTACCATTACTATGGCAAACATCGTAAATATGGTACCCCAATTCTTATTTTGCTTATGGTAAGCACGGTTTATAACATCCATGATCATAAGGTTATATTTCCACTGCTTATGGTCGGCGTGGTATTTATAAAGAGTATTACCCATAGTGGCTATGGATCACATGGTACCATTATTATAGTTGCCATGATACAAATGGTGCCACAATTTTTGTTCTGCTAATGTCACGCATGAGCAGATCAGAGTGTTACTGTAGTTTTAAAATGGGTATGTTACGTCTAGTTGGCAAATCACAGACGCTACGGTAGATGTGTAGAAGCCAGCAGTGCCGTTGTAGTTGATCTGAGAATTTTGAGTTACTGAATGTTTTCGAGAATAACATACCCATGCAGTTCGTGGAGCGTCATCTGATTCGAAGAACTTCACTTCGTGACTGAAAACTTGGTTCTCCTAGAAATTACTAGTAAGAAGTTAATATTGTACCATTATTACGGTAGCCATGGTACATATGGGACCCCGATACTAATTTTTTTATAGTACGAATGTTATTCATAGTTTTTATACCTATTCGACCTATGGTACCATTACTATGGCAAACATCGTAAATATGGTACCCCAATTCTTATTTTGCTTATGGTAAGCACGGTTTATAACATCCATGATCATAAGGTTATATTTCCACTGCTTATGGTCGGCGTGGTATTTATAAAGAGTATTACCCATAGTGGCTATGGATCACATGGTACCATTATTATAGTTGCCATGATACAAATGGTGCCACAATTTTTGTTCTGCTAATGTCACGCATGATATTCGTGAGATGTATTACCTATAATGCCAATGTACCATATGGTACTATTTCTATGGTTGAATTTATATGGTACCCCGATATATGGCATTTATGGGGGTTATGATGTCATAGATTCTAGGGATCATATGGTAAAAACTCACGCATCTGCAATCGTAATCTCTGGAAGCCATATGGATTTTTGTGGCACATAAATATGACTAATTCCCCCATATTCCAGTGGATTCCATTTCAATCGATAGTCCGTATACTCAGCGATATAATCAAACAGAAATGTGATTTTTTCCTCAACCTCAACCTGAAAATGCTAGCTTAACCATATTGTGCCGTTTTCTGACCTACCACATCCACTAATTTCAACATTGCCATTGTCAGTTTCAACTCTGTGATTGGTGGATGTATGGTTTTGTTTTGGTTGATCCATTGGGATTTGTCTGAATTATGTAGATTGGATCTTGGAAAATTTCACAGGAATTACGTAGTGTATAAATTGCGCTAATGGTCGGATCGTATCCCCTGAACAAGTCATCCCAGAGTCGCTTCTGATCGGCAAGGAATTTTTCGTACGAAGCCACTGAAACACTTTGTCGGCATAGGATTATTTAAGCTGTCCCTTACTTTCAGCTTTAGTCATTTCTTGAGCAAAGCACAGCGAGCAAAAAACAGCAGTGGCAAGGAAAGTGGTAAGCATATTTATTCAAACGTAAAAAAGTGAATCTTCGAAAGTAAGTGAGGGGGGCTTAAAAAGAATACATACATGTAAACGAATACTTTTGCACCGAAGACGTCCCATACGCAAAATGTTGTTAGCTTACACGTGTAGACATTTAAGTTAAAAAAAGGTGGAAAACTAATATACATCGGGTCCAAAAAGTTATTGGCAATTGACGATTTGGTAGATTTTGTCGTGGAATGGGAAGCAGCGGAAGAGACGTTTGACTTCCATGGTTTGAAGGAATAGTTCCACGGAGCGCTGAAAATCAGAATTGTTGAGAAAATGTAGCAGGTTAGTTGTCGGGTGTCTCGGGGTACAAATATCGCGCTCCTGTTTAACACCGACACTCCGCTATCCCGCTCCAAGCGATAGTATGTATGTATACTCAAGCAATGCATTTAACCCTGTTTGAAATAAATTGTTGTCCTAACATTTTATGTTGATTTTCTTCTCTTTTTTGGAATAGGAAACTTATGTCCCGGACACACCGCATGGAGTTACCGTAAACGCTCTAATAGAAAGGCACCCTATACTTTGAGTTCATATATCTCGGTTCCTGAATTATGTATCAAAAATGTGTCAACTGATAGAATGTATGTTATATTATGATAAACAATTTATCAGTTGACCACTTTTTGATATCTTTCATAGAAACCGAGATAATTGAGCTCAAACAAAACATGTGCTGTTGGGTTCACGACCGCGTAGCTCGGTAGCAGTGTGGAACCCTTATGCTTGACAGTTCAACTTTCCGAGAGGAAAACAAAATTTGACCAGTCTTTTTTCATGTCCCATCCTTAAAAATTTCGAAAAAAAAATCTCAAATTATTATCCACATATTTGCCCTAATGGAAGATCACCCTATCCGTGCACTTTGAGCTCAATTATCTTTGTTCCTATGAAGAATATCAAAAAGTAGTCCACATATCAAATGTTTGTGATAACATGATAAACAATTTTTCAGTTGATCACTTTTCGATATCTTCTAGATGAACCCAGATAATTGAGCTCAAAGTGGATGTATAGGGTCCGCGTAGCTCAGCCGGTAGGAAAACTTTCTAAGATCGTCTGGTCAGCTGTCTAAGCTGCTCGTCTACTATTACGTAAGTTTCAGTACATATCAAGCTAGTTCCAAACATTCTCTTTTAACCTTCCTACGCATAAAATTTTGAATTTTGATGTTGTATTTACTTTAGTGTGTGCCGGGTAACACAATACCCATGACCTTTCAAGTGTGCTACTGGGTGGCGAAAAGTTCAAAAATCCATTTTACACTTTTTTGAAACAAGGGACTACGGGACTCTTAAAATTTCTCACCTCTAACGCAGGCAACAACATTAACAGTCCGCTCAGCCTGTACGCCGGGTCCACATCCGGCGTATCCTTCTCGTAAAACGACATGAGCTCTGCTATAACTTTCTGTCTAACCGGTCGACAAAGTGGATAATACGAATCCGGTTGTCCTTCTAGAGAATCATTCCAAGTACATAATGTTACTAGAGCCAGGAATTCGATTAACGAGATTTTTTGATGGCACAAAGGTTGGAAAACATTACGCTTCATCTGGTCGAAATACGGGCGGTACATTCTACAAAATTTTTTATAATGATTTGGAGGTTACTGTAGCTACTCACGCAATTGCTTCTGTAGACTTACACCGCTCACGGTGCTCCGGGTCGTAATAAAAAGTGTCCAAGTTCATAGTATCTATGAAATCTCCATTTGCCAAAACGAAAACTTCCGTTCCTTCCAGATAACTCTTGTATCCCATTTCAAGGATCATAAATGATACAAAAAAGTATTTGAAGACATGCTTCTTTTCAAAACCGCCCATTTCCTTGAACTGAGGAAAACTGTCTTCTAGGAATTCATACTGTAGGTACACATCGTTCACATAGATGTTACAGAATTCTCCGTAAGTTGTCGCTCGGGGTTTCTGGAAAAATATACAAATTATAATTTCATATATTTTCAGTTTTTTGAATTTCCGGACTTACCATTTTTGGCGCATGCAAGCCGTATCTTTTTTTGTACAAATTCTGATAGCTTTGCATGACTCCGCAGAGCACTGGGGTCATCTCATGGTAGTCAACTAGGTCGAGCTGAAAATCTCAGACAATTTTTTTCCAGAGGTCTTTTTTGAAAAGCTAACACTGAGAATAGGACTGTTGCATGATGCAGGAGAGGATGAGCAGGATGGTAGGCTTTCGATTTCCATGGAAGATGATGATTTGTTGGAGGATTGGGGGGATTGGACAACTAAAAATGGAACATTTCGGTTTTAAAGGGACAGAAGGTTTTTGTGAGGCTTTTACATGAGATATCGATCTGTACAACTTCTTCTACCGTAGCTCAGCCGTTAGCGACGCTCGACCTCAAACGGTGAGTCCACAAGTTCGTGGTCTCGACTAGCTGATAAGAACCAAATCTCGAAAATTTTATTCTCTCAAATTTTTTTTCAAGTTTTCTCGCAATTTGGGTAAAGGATTTCAAACTACAACTGTATCCCCTTATCAGGTATCACTTTTTGAACTATATCTCTCATCTCCATGTATCGTTTAATGTTCCTGTTTTTATTGCATCCACCGATCAACAATCGGAATTGTCATCATTTTCTAGCGTACAGTATCTTTCTCATCAAACTGCAAAACGTGTCTACCATGTGGTGGTCATGTGGACCGTAATGTTGAAAGTATGAAACATTTTCGGCCTATCTCAGATGGGAGATTCCAAATTGGGATCGTCGGTTCCATGATAGGACCATCGGTCTCAAAGAGGACCAAACATGACGACCGTGGTCCGACCGCCAAACTGCGGTCCGACCACCCAGCCTATGGTCCGGTCCTTCCTTCAGATTATGGTCCAAAAAACAAATTGAAAGGCAAAAATGAGCTTGCGACTTTTTAAAACCTGATTTAGGCGTTGGGACTATGGTTGGAGGGATGAAACCGCTGTCCGAGGGTATTTTTTGGGGACCCATGGTTCCATCATGGGACCAGCGGTCCAAAAGACCTCTATTGTGAGATAGACCCGAATCTAACTTTCGGAGTTTTTGAAGCTAAAATGATACTGCACCGCTTCCGGTCTTCGAACTAGACCAATAACTATTCGATTCTGTTTCGATGCTCACAGATTAAAATAACATCATTATTTCATAATCCTCACCTTCCGGATTCATTCCAACATTCAAACACTTTGCATATCTGCATGATTTGCAGCTGTCACGACTGCTCATCTTTATGATGCACTCGTTCTTTTTTCGACACAAAAACTTGGAGGCAAGATTCATGGAGGTGGTTCGGCGAAAGAATGCGGCACAGGCTCTGGAAAAATAATTCGAAAAATGATACAAATTTTGGCCATATTTAGGACCATGTCTAAAAACTGATACACAAAATTTGACTCACTTGCACGCGATGGCTCCAAAATGGTAGCCATCACCAAGTTGATGGCACACACTACAAAATTTTCGCTCCCTGGATACAATCATTGTGTTGACCTAAAACATCCACACCGCTATTTATATAAGGTGATGACAGTAGTCCAAAAAACAAGATAGATAAGATAACAACCCGAGACATTATGCCTACGTGAGAAATGCAAATTGAAATGGTGGAATTTAGAGGAATCATGCAAAATGTTATGGGTGAGGGGGAAGGGGGGTGTTTCCCTTGCCGTAGATAGAAAAAGATGACAATTCGTTCGGCGAGAGATACGGGGAAGTGGAGGGTTGAGGGAAGTTAGAGAGCGTACTAATCACGTACGCGTCGGTCGTTCGGGGTTGCCAGCTGATCTTTTGACTCTGGAGGAAGAGGGAAGAGAAAGGAAAAGTGAATGGGTATGTGTGTTTTGTTGATAGACACTTGGAGAGGGTGGGAGGTAAGAAAATGTTCATTGAACGTTTCTTGTGTACCTTGTAGGTATCTTTTTTGTATGATGTAATCTTTCAGAATAAAATATAACATCTTTTATTGCACAATTTGGAATGGTCAGTTCCACTAGTCACCCGCTGGTCTGTCTTGAAAGGCAAAGAAGTAAGTCATGAAAGAGAAAATAATAAATTAGCAGATTCTGCAAGTGGTAGCACATCTGGCTCTGCGTTGAGCGGCGGTGTAGAAGGTGTTGGTGCAGAATCCGTTGGCGGCCCAGGCGGCGCATTGAGTGGTGGTATCAGCGATGTAAGATGTGCAGGTTCCGGAAGATCCAGTAGAGGTGACGGTTCCAGAAGCAGCAGTGGTGGATGGACATCTTCCACAGGTTCTTTGACAGTAGCTGTTCACGAAGTCTTGCATGCCGACAGTTTGGCAAATGGAGAGATCGTTGGCACAGTTGGTGACGGCGTCGACGCATCCTCCTTGGTTACAGAATCCGCAGGCGGATGGGCAGTCGGTGGCGATGATGGTTCTCCAGGTGACGGAGTCGCATTGAGACTTGGTGATGGTGGCACAGTTGAGACGTGGGACTGAAAAAGTTGGATACAAATGATTTTTGGATTAGTCACACTCACAGGCAACATTAGCGCAGTTGTAGGCGTCAGTCTGGCAACAGAATCCGCAGGTCTTGGCGCAGTTAGCAAGAGCGGCTTGCTTCATATCTGGAACCACAGCAGCTGGGGTGGCAGTAGCGGTGGTATAACAGGCATATGCTCTTTCAGCATCATTTCCAGCAGCTGGGTAGAGGGTGTCTGGAGCAGCATAGAGAACAGCGCAAGATGCATCGGAGATAGCGTTGTCACAGGCAACAGCGGCTGGGGTGTACACAAACTGAAATTTTGAAAATTTAAATTTGCTTGGTCACAATTAGGTTCTTACCGCGGTTCCGTTATAGCTGGTACAATTCAAGTCACCACCAATAACGGCGGAGACTTCTGGAGCCAAGAATGAGGCGAGAAGGACCGAAACGAGGGCGAACATTGTTGGAATTGATAGAAGAATTGATGGATGATCGAATTCTTGGATGATTGTTACCACGAACCGATTCTCATTTTATACCTTTTCCCCTATTTGAACACCTGTTTTAGGATTCGAAACGTTCAATCCATTGTTTCCATTCTTTTTTCTCGTTTTTCTACAATGTGCAAACATGGTGTATGTTGCTAGTACTTTTACAAAAATCATCGAGACTGCGAGTCACCCTTTATTAGTTCAGTTTTTTTCATGGAAGCAGTGGTCAAGTACTTTATGTAAGTTAAGGTGGCAATAGGATAGCTTTCTTCTCCCAAAAAAAAAACACACACACACACCCAATAAGAAACATTTATTCAGCACAGAATTGGTCAGGTCCCGTTCAGCAAAAATAAGTTAGAAGAAATTTAAAAAATTAGCAAATCTTGCAAGTTGAAGCACAGTAGGATTTGCGTTGAGCCGAGGTGTAGAAGGTGTTGGTGCAGAATCCATTGGCTGCCCAATCAGCGCAATGAGAAGAGCTATCAGCATTGTAAGATGTGCAGGTTGAGGAGGAAGGAGATGCAGTAGTGGTAGATGAGGAGGTGGTAGAGGATGGGCATCTTCCACAGGTTCTTTGGCAGTAGGTGTTAACAAAGTCTTGCATTCCAACAGTGGTACAAATGGAGATGTCTGTGGCGCAATCGACAACAGCGTCCACGCATCCTCCCTCGTTGCAGAATCCGCAGGCAGATGGGCAGTCAGTAGCGATGATGGATCTCCAGATGACAGAGTTGCATTGAGCGGTGGTGATTGTGGAGCAGTCGAGGCGAGGGTCTAAAAGTGTGGGAAATATGAGTTGGGTAAGATAGCTTTTAGCAGAGGTGTATATAGGAGATTCAAAATAAGGTTATCAAAAACTGGATTTTGACTGAATATAGGCGTATTCTAGAATTAGCGTAGTCCTACTTGTTCCTTTCGTATAACCTACCGTAAAACCTATATTGGAAGTACTAACTTAACGGTGACTCATATTTTTGAAAAGTTTAGCTTTAGTTTTTTAAAATTTTAATCTTTTTACATAGACGTTAAGCTAGCTAGGTTTAACCCTAGCTAGGGTCGAGCTTGTAACTATTTAAAACTTACAGGCAACATTAGCGCAACTGTACGCATCAGTCTGGCAACACAATCCACATGTTTTGGCACACGTATCCAAAGCGGCCGTCTTCATGTCTTGAACAATAGCAGCTGGGGTGGCAGTGGCTGTGGTATAACAAGCCAATGGTCTTTGAGCATCAGTTCCCGCAGATGGGTATCCAGCGGTGGTGTCGGGATCGACGTAGAGAACTTCACAAGCGGCATCGGAAATGGTGTTGGAGCAGGCGACAGCAGCAGGGGTGTAGACGAACTGAAAAGAAGGTGATTTGGGGAATGAAGGAAAATTTAGGCTGGGTTTGCTTACAAGTTTTATCCAAGCTAGCAGCTAAAACTTGAATATTAAAATTATCTAGGCACGTACCGATGTTCCATTGTAAGTGGTACAATTCAAGTCACCGGTGATAGCAGCATTAGCTGTAAATGGGACCAAAAGGAAGGAGAAGATGAAGAGCATGTTTAATGGATGCTATGACTTTATCCCCAAAACTTTGTACGCTATATATATCCCGACTGTCCTCATTATGTCACTGATCAGTAAAACAGATATTGTCCTGGATAAATTTTGTTGTGAATTTTTTTGTACCAGAACATGTAACAAAGATTCTTTTGTATACAAACAAAACAATGAGTATTCCATGAAAGGATGCGCAGGCGATTGGTCACTTTTGATGCTGAACTCTGTAAGGTAATTTGGTGGAAAGCTGAGCCAATTTTCTAATCCCTGGAGGATAGACGACGTGAAGTATAAAAGAGTTGTTTTCCTGCCAAAATGTATCAACTTGTACTTTACAACATGCTCTTCCTCTTCTCTTTCCTTTTGGTCTTCTTCTCAGCTAATGCAGCAATCAGTGGAGATCTGAACTGCACCACTTACAACGGAACCTCAGTGAGTTTTCATTTATACCATCTCCCTCTAAAAATTATCTCTTCCAGTTCGTGTACACCCCAGCGGCTGTCGCCTGCTCGAACCTCATTTCCGATGCCGCTTGCGAAGTTCTCTACGTCGATCCAGACACCACCGCTGGATACCCATCTGCTGGAACTGATGCTGAACGTCCATTGGCTTGTTATACGACCGCCACTACCACCCCAGCTGCTGTTGTTCAAGATATGAAGACCGCCGCTTTGGATACTTGTCCAAAGACATGTGGATTGTGTTGTCAGACTGATGCTTATAACTGCGCTAACGTTGCATGTAAGTTATAGTTACAAACTTAATCATATTGTAGTTATAAACTTAAAAGCTTAAACCCAGCGAAGTTATAAGCGTTAAGCTAGTTACAAGCCCTAAACTAGCGTAGTTACAAGACTTAAGCTAAAGAATATGTCATACGTTTATACGCATTTAAGAGTTGACTTGTGTTTATCTAATCAGACCAATAATTCGCGGGAAAACTGACTCAAATAGTTGGGACGCCGTTTCAAGAACCATCCAATCCCAAGACTTCGTCAACTTTCAGACCCTCGCCTCGACTGCTCCACAATCACCACCGCCCAATGCAACTCTATCATCTGGAGATCCATCATCGCTACTGACTGTCCATCTGCCTGCGGATTCTGTAACGAGGGAGGATGTGTTGACGCTGTTGTCGATTGCGCCACAGATATCTCGATTTGTACCACTGTTGGAATGCAAGACTTTGTTAACACGTACTGCCAAAGAACCTGTGGAAGATGCCCATCCTCGACAACCTACTCATCTACCACTACTGCATCTTCTTCCTCCTCAACCTGCACATCTTACAATGCTGATAGCTCTTCTCATTGCGCTGACTGGGCAGCCAATGGATTCTGCACCAACACCTTCTACACCTCGGCTCAACGCAAATCCTACTGTGCTTCAACTTGCAAGATTTGCTGATTTTTTTAATTTCTTCTAACTTATTTTTGCTGAACGGGACCTGACCAATTCTGTGCTAAATAAAATGATTGAACGCTTATTGAATTTGCGTTTTTTTTGGCGAAAAATGATAGCTATCCTGCGTTATTACCAGCTTGACAAACAAAGAGCAACATGAAATGACCAGTTAAAATGGACACAGCTAAAGCATTATTGCTTAAAATCAGAGAAAATTTTAAAAGGGATTTTGAATGGATGAAACACAAACAGTTTCAGAATCCGATTAAAAATTGGTGTTGATCATTAGACAAAGAAAATTTAGATCTGTAGAAAGTTCCAAAAAAAGGTGTGGATCTTTTCAGGAAATACGACGAAATATATAATTTGAAATCGGGGAACCACAATCCCAAACACCAATTTTGAGTATTTTTTTTTAATGGAATCACCGTAAAACCTGTAATAGAAGAGCCCTCATACTGTCAACTTTGAGCTTAGTTATCTCAGTTCCTATGGAAGATACCAAAAATTGTTAACTGATTAACTGCTTATCACAATATCACAAAAATTCCATCATTCGACACATATTGCTATATCGCAAGGAACTAAGAAAAATTGGCTCGAAATTAAGAGTCATTCCATTAGAGGTTTTACGGTATTGGTTTTATAGAAAAATTTTTTAAAACGACTAAAACCCTGACTAAATTCTACGACTACTTCTAAATTTAGATTTTAATCTAGATAATCTTCGAACTCTTCTTTCTATTCTCTTTTTTATTGCCAAAACACACATATGCCACCCATATACGACCTGCCATGACCCACTAAGCTAATAATGACTTCCAGTTGTTCCTATCCTCTGAATCTTCTTCTACTCCAAAAGCCAAAAGCAAACACAACCATTTTTGTTCCAGAGATTTTCTGTTCTGATCGATTTGCTCTTTCTTTGTCCCCAATTCCAGACACATCGCTATTAGTGCAAAAAGAAAAAGGGTGTGAGGACAGGCAAGCTGACCAAATAGATTGGTCGTAGTATAAAAGGAAATTGTTTCGGTGGATGAAAAGTATCGAACACATTTTTATAAATCATCAACTACCCCTTCTAAAAATGTTCGCTCTTGTTTCACTTCTCCTGGCTTCATTCTTGGCTCCAGAAGTCTCCGCTGTTATCGGTGGTGACTTAAATTGTACAAGCTATAACGGAACCGCGGTACTAACCCTAATTGTGATCTAGCAATTTTAAAATTCCAAAATTCCAGTTTGTGTACACCCCAGCCGCTGTTGCCTGTGACAACGCTATCTCCGATGCATCTTGCGCTGTTCTCTATGCTGCTCCAGACACCCTCTACCCAGCTGCTGGAAATGATGCTGAAAGAGCATATGCCTGTTATACCACCGCTACTGCCACCCCAGCTGCTGTGGTTCCAGATATGAAGCAAGCCGCTCTTGCTAACTGCGCCAAGACCTGCGGATTCTGTTGCCAGACTGACGCCTACAACTGCGCTAATGTTGCCTGTGAGTGTGACTAATCCAAAAATCATTTGTATCCAACTTTTTCAGTCCCACGTCTCAACTGTGCCACTATCACCAAGTCTCAATGCGACTCCGTCACCTGGAGAACCATCATCGCCACCGATTGCCCATCCGCCTGCGGGTTCTGTAACCAAGGAGGATGCGTCGACGCGGTCACGAACTGTGCCAACGATCTCTCCATCTGTCAAACTGTCGGCATGCAAGACTTCGTGAACAGCTACTGTCAAAGAACCTGTGGAAGATGTCCATCCACCACGGCTGCTTCTGGAACCGTCACCTCTACTGGATCTTCCGGAACCTGCACATCTTACACCGCCGACACCACCACCCAATGCACCGCCTGGGCTGCCAATGGATTCTGCACCAACACCTTCTACACCGCCGCTCAACGCAAGGCCAGATGTGCTACCACTTGCAAGCTTTGCTAATTATTTCATTTCTTTGACAAAACTACTTCCCCCAATTTTTTATACTGCACTTCCCCCAAGACAAACGACCTCAGGTGACTTATGGAACTGACCATTCCTACTAGTACATGCATATAGGCTTTTGAAATTTTGTACATTTTTTCAATAAACTGTATGGAATTGAAGATTTTGATTTTGCAAGAAAGGCTAACCTCAATGATGGTATTCGCCGAAGAGTCCTTTATTGTGAGCTGTCATATTTGAGCACCTGTAAAATTAGTATTAGAAAATTCTTTTAAAAAAATACTTTTTTTCTAATTGCGGTAAAAAGGGGGAAATAAGAATTTATATGAATAGGACCAAAGTGTGGGGATCGTTACAGGATCTACAGTAATCCTCGGTATCCTGAAATAAAAAAGTTTCTAAACCAAATAATACCGTAAAACCAGGAGAAGCCCGTCCTGAATTTGACTTTGAACCAACTTTTCTCGATTGCTGTCAAAGATATAAAAAAAGTTGTCAACTGATAAATTGTTTATCGTAATATCACAATTATTTTATCAGTTGGTACTTTTTTGATATCTTGCATAGGATCCACAAAAAATTGTCCCAAACTTGACAGTTTGAGAGCCCTTCTTTTACAGGTTTTTTCTTATAAACCGAAATAAATTGAGTCAAAATATGTTGTTCCAGGTTTTACAGTTATTTTTATCTCAAAACCGAAAAAGGTCTTCAAATAAATATAATCTAGATAGGTCCTAAAATTTAGAAACTGGATTGAATATGAATATAATTCAAAATTTGAATATTCGGTAGTACAGATTTGAACGGAAAACTCGATATGTCTATTTCTGGACCTACTGGTATCCTTCTAATAGAATGAACCCCTTAATTCATAATTGTAAAGTTCCGGGCCGGGTCTGGAGAAATCTTCAAGGCCCGGGCACGGCATTGAAGGCCCTGCATCAAAAAACCTATTTTTTGAGCCAAATTTTAAGCTCTTAATATAATTTTTTCCAATTTTTTTTTTTGGATTGTTTGTCTGTTTTATCAACAAAAAAAAATCGGAAAAATCGAAAAAAAATGTTTGATCGAAAAAAATCACATAAAGGTTCCCCCCTGATGGGTTTTTTGAAATTTTCAAAACTTGTGAAATGACGGGCCCGCGGACCGGGTCGGGCCTCCGAAATTCGGAAAAAAGCCCGGGCCGGCCCGGCCTCTTACAACTATGCCTTAGTTTCAATCTTTGAGACTGTTTATCTTAGTTCCTATGAGAGATAAAAAGCATATGTCACCTGAGAAATTATTCATCATAACATCACCAACACTTTAAATGTATCAGTTTATAAATTTTTATATCTCTCATAGTTACCGAGATAATTGAGCTAACATTATAAAAATTTACTTATAGGGTGGGCTGATATTAGAGCACATACAGTAATAGGAACAGGAAACTCAATGTGACTGTTTCTGGACTTAACTAACACTTCGATTTTATTTTTAAGTACAGACAAAAAACTCAAGACCAAAATTTTCACACCACCGTCATCTGATGGGGACATAATCCAAAATGAGCCTCCTCTTCTGAATATTCCGCGCGCAAAAAAGCTGCGTCAATAACTATGCCTAACACCCTCCACGCATTTTACTAGACTCTCCCACGAGACGACAGATCAAATGCATTGTTTCAATGATGAAAACCTATTCATGTGATACAGTTTGCAACTGTACAAACGGTCGAAAGATGAATTATTTCTATCTGGATATGCACGAGTTTCATTGTAAATCCAGAGTAACAATGGAGGATTAACAGTTGTGCAAATTCGGGACCACCCGGTATAAAAGCCTCAGGATTAGCACTTTGAAACCATCAGCAGCTACTGGTTTTCCAATAATCTCAACTAGCAACAAAAAAAATGTTTGCCCTAGTTTCAATTCTCTTCGCCTCTTTCTTGGCTCCTGAAATCTCTGCGGTTATCGGTGGTGACTTGAATTGTACCGTCTACAATGGAACATTTGTGAGACTTTAAGAGTATGGTTTCAATCTTTGACGCCTTGAGAATTTCAGTTCGTGTGGACTCCAGCCGCCGTTCAATGCCAGAACACCATTGCCGACTCTTCATGCGCTATCCTTTACCCAACCACTGATACGCTAGGATTCCCAGCAGCTGGAAACAACGCTGGAAGACCATTGGCCTGCTATACAACCGCCACTGCCACACCAGCCGCTGTTGTTCCAGACATGAAGACTGCTGCCTTGGCAAACTGCCCCAAGACTTGCGGATATTGCTGCAACACTGATGCCTACAGCTGCAAAAACGCTGACTGTAAGGGATACAGCGCCTTCTTCTGATTTCAAAGCTTTTTTTCAGTCCCACGTCTCAACTGTGCCACTATCACCAACACCCAATGCAACTCGCCAGCCTGGAGAACCATCATCGCTTCCGATTGCCCATCCGCCTGCGGATTCTGCGGACAGGGAGGATGCGTCGACGCTGTCACCAACTGCGGAAACGATCTGTCCATCTGTCAGAACATCGGAATGCAAGACTTCGTCAACAACTACTGTCAAAAGTCCTGCAACCGTTGCCCATCCACCACCACATCTGCATACGGAGGAGTTACCGGAGGATCGTGCTCGTCTTACATCGCTGACACCACCACTCAATGCGCCGCCTGGGCTAGCAACGGATTCTGCACCAACAACTTCTACACTTACGCTCAACGTAGGCAGAGATGCGCCACCACTTGCAGACTCTGCTAAGAAGTATTTAATGGTAAACTTTGACCTAATTTCTTTCAAGACATCGACATACTTACTTTATTGTTATTATCTTTTGGAACTGACCATTCCAAAATGTGACTAGTGAATAAAATATTAATATCCAAAAATTGGATTTTCAAGTTGATAAATACCGTAAAACCTGTACAATTAGAGAGGCCCCTGTAATAGAAGTGCCCTCCGGAAACACTTTGGAACAAAACATATGAGGGTCAGCCTTGCTAATATAAATTTCACAATATTTGGATGAATTTTTCAAAATAATTATATTCAAAGAATGTGATGTCAAAGAGAAAGTATGACTAATTTATTTTCTCAAATAGTGGGACACTTTGAACTTAATTATCAGGGTTCCTATGAGAGATACCAAAAAATTGTCAACTGATAAAATATGAGTGATATTATGATAAACTTTCTATCAGTTGATCACTTTTCAATAACTTTCAAAGGAACCGAGATAATTGAGCCCAAAGTGCAGAGCTTCTATCAGAGCAGAAACGTTAATTCAGAAAAATGATTCAAAATGATTCTAAAATAAAAATGAGAATCAAAATGTTCTCGATGTTTTGACCAACCAAATGGACAATCGATCCTTATATAGTTAAGCTGTACTAATAATTTTTACATCCTCCCCATGAATCATTTTGCACTATACATGAAACTGTTCCATTGTTACACAATTTGCACCTGTACAAATCGTTTTGAGCCAAAAAAACTAGAGACATGCAGTTGTACAAAGAATTTCTGGCTGGGTATAAAAAGACCGAAAAACTCAGAATCAAATATTCAAGTTTTAGCTTGCAATTAGAAACCATGATTGCATTCGTTTCAATTCTCCTAGCTTCATTCTTGGCTCCAGAAGTTTTTGCAGTGATTGGTGGAGATTTGAATTGCACCAGCTATAACGGAACCGCGGTGAGTAACACTGATTGACTAACGAGTAAGCTTATAATCTTTCAGTTCGTGTACACTCCAGCCGCTGTGGCCTGCTCCAACGCCATCTCCGATGCATCTTGCGCAGTTCTCTATGCTGCTCCAAACACTCTCTACCCAGCTGCTGGAAACGATGCTCAAAGAGCTCATGCCTGTTATACCACTGCTACAGCCACTCCAGCTGCTATTGTCTTGGATATGAAACAAGCAGCACTTGCTAACTGTGCCAAGACTTGTGGATTCTGCTGCCAAACTGACGCCTACAGTTGCAGTAACGCTGTTTGTGAGTTACCAAGAGTTTTACGGTTGTTAAGTCTGATGTAGGAATAGTGGAAGAGAAGAAATTAAAAGTTGTTTCTAACTTTCTTAATGATACCTTCAGTTTATCCCCCGTTGCTAAAAAGACCCCAACTTCCAGACCCACGCCTCAACTGCGCCACCGTCACTCTCTCTCAATGCAACTCTGTCGCCTGGCGAACCATCATCGCTCAAGACTGCCCAGCTTCCTGTGGATTCTGTCTCTCCGGAGGATGTGTTGACGCCGTCACCAACTGCGGTAACGACCTCTCCATCTGCACCACCGTCGGCATGCAAGACTTCGTCAACACCTACTGCCAAAGAACCTGTGGAAGATGCCCATCTAGCACCACTTCTGCTTCTTCTGGAACTGCCACTACCACGGTGACATCAACTTGCTCATCTTATATTGCCGACTCATCGACTAACTGTGCTAACTGGTCCAGAAACGGCTTCTGCACCAACACCTTCTACACACTTGCTCAACGTAGAGCCAGATGTGCCACCACTTGCAGAATTTGTTAATTAACGATAATTTACTATTGATAATTTATTTGATCCATTGTTCTTTCAAGGCTTTCACGCATCGGGTGACTGACTGGAACTGACCATTCCAAGCTGTGCAATAAATATGTTCAATGTTTTATCTGGATAATTATAAACCACATTCTAAAGCATTATTTGCTGTTATAGAAGCTAACCGTATACTTGCACATTGAGCTGAATTATCTCAGTTCCTATGAGAGATATGAAAACTTTGTCAACTGATAAAAAATTAATAACATTACGATAAACATTTTGTCAGTTGAAAATTTTATGATATCGATTAAAGGAACCAATATAAATAAAATCAAAATTCACGTATAGGATGGGCTTCTATGAGAGCGGATACCGTAATCTCGATCACCTAACATAGTTTTATACTGAATTTGAATTGATTTTATGCGTTGATTACTGAATATCAAGACATTTCTAAGATACAGCAGGCACATTTGGATTCTGCCCACCCGGTACCGTCCAAAAATAGGAGACTAGTTCTAGTCAAAAAAAAAAGAAAATATTACTCGATTGACATAATCAATTGGAATTAGATCAGAGCAAAAACACCTTAAACCTTTAATAGAAGAACCCTTAGCTGTTATCGTTCAGCTCGTCTAGCTAATTTTCCGTAAAAGGTATAAGAAAGTTGTCAACTGATAAATTCTTTATCATTATATCAGAAGTGTTTTGTCAGTTGACGCATTTTTGATACTTTGCATAGGAATTGAGGTACTCGAGGTCAAAGTTGACAGTGCGGTTATATACAGCGGCGAGAAGTGGTGAGGATAATTTTTTCGAACATTCATAACTTTGTTCAAAATAGCTCAATCGACTTGAAAATTTGCATGAGAATAGCTGTAAAATCCAAAAACATAAAAATTTGTTTTTTGAAAATTTCTCACTTTCAGAATTTCCAGAGCAATTTCAGATGTAACAGTGGTCCGAGAATCCAAAAAAAACTTTTTTTTCAGATTTTTTTCTTAAATGTCAAATGATTCTCAGTGTTCAAATATGCACCAAAAACGTTTTGAAGAGTTTTGGAAGCCGGGCTCTCGAGTTATGGTGCTCAGAGCACAAAAGGTGTGTATGTCGGCATTTTTGCCATAACTCAGCTGAAAATGTATTTTTGATGCTCAAAATCTCACAAATTATGTGTTTTAAGTTGTTCATCAGTTTTAAGTTAAAAGTTTTTTAATTGTAGAACAATGTTTTCATTTTTTTCACCTCTAGGGAAAACTTCTAAAATCTAAAAATGAGAAAAAATTGTACAATTGAAAAACAACTTTTGACATAAAACTGATAAACAACTCAAAACACATCATCTGTGAAATCTTGAGCATCAAAACTACATTTTCAGCTGAGTTATGGCGAAAATGCCGACACATACCTTTTGTGCTCCGACTTTCAAAACTCTTCAAATTTTTTCGGTGCATATTTGGACACTGAGAATCAATTGACATTTAAAAAAAAGCCAGAAAAAATTCTGAAAACAAGTTTTTTTTAGATTCTCGGACCACTGTTACATCTGAAACTTCTCTGAAAATTCTGAAAATGGGAAATTTTCAAAAACCCGATTTTTATGCTTTTCGATTTTACAGCTATTCTCGTGCAAAATTTCAACTTCTCGCCACTGTAAATCAGAAACGTTCATTTGAATTGCAAAATAAAATTTTTTATGGGTTTTCAAAATCTAAACAGCAATTGAATTGGTCAATTTTTTGGCTTCTCAACTGTTTATTCTGACACCTTATTGCATTTGTTCAAACAAAACTGTACAAAACAAAATCCTATTAGTTTAAACGGTAAACAAGCTAATCTAGCAAATTAACAAATTTCGAAAAGTTCTTAAACGGGTTTCCAAATCTTTCCACAGTTTCATGCAAGAGTCTACATGTACCAACAAACTACAGAAGCTCTGAAGCAACATTGTCTGGCGCGGAAAAAATTGCGGAGGAGACAAAACATTGTATTCTTTTGCACCGAGAATCTCATCCATTGTTTTCAAGCGCAAAATGTGCATCTGTTCAAACGAGAACATTGGAAAATGATAATTTTCGTGCGAAATATCATGTAAACTGCTAAACGCTACATTGCAGATGTGCAAAGACTGAAAAAATGTACTGAGTGGGTATAAAAGCGGAATTCGTTTTGAAGAATATATCAATCCAGCGTTTGGTTTTGCCTGGTGAGAAAAGCACAATGATTTCTTTGGTGTCAATTCTCATTGCTTCATTCTTGGCTCCAGAAGTCAGCGCCGTGATTGGTGGAGACTTGAATTGTACCAGTTATAACGGAACCGCGGTGAGTACAACAGACTGACTAACGAGTAAGCTTATAATCTTTCAGTTCGTCTACACACCAGCCGCCGTAGCTTGCTCGAACACTATTTCTGATGCCTCTTGCGCGGTTCTTTATGCGGCTCCAAACACCTCTACCCAGCAGCCGGAAATGATGCTCAAAGAGCTCATGCCTGTTACACAACCGCCACTGCAACCCCAGCCGCCTTCGTCGCTGATATGAAAACAGCAGCACTTACTAACTGCCCAAAGACCTGCGGATTCTGCTGTCAAACTGACGCCTACAATTGTAGAAATGCTAATTGTGAGTCTCAATGTCTTATTCTAATCTGAAGCTCAAATTTCAGATCCACGTCTCAACTGCGCCACCATCACTCTCTCCCAATGCAACTCTGTCGCCTGGAGAACCATCATCGCTCAGGACTGTCCATCGTCTTGTGGATTCTGTCTCTCCGGAGGATGCGTCGACGCCGTCACCAACTGCGGAACCGATCTCTCAATCTGCCAGAACATCGGAATGCAAGACTTCGTCAACCAATACTGTCAAAAGACCTGCGGAAGATGCGCATCCAGCACAACATCATCAAGCTCGGTGACCGTTACATCTGGCACATGCACGTCTTACATTGCCGACACCACCACTCAATGTGCCGCATGGGCTACCAATGGATTCTGCACCAACACCTTCTACACCTTGGCTCAACGCAGAGCCAGATGTGCTACCACTTGCAGAATTTGCTAGACAAGAGGACAATAGACAGACCACCCTATTCTTTCAGACAATTGTATACTTATATTTATTGTTGGAACTGACCACTCCAAATGTGACTAGTGAATATGTGTACTAATAAATTTAGTTCTCAAATGTTGTTTTTTAAAGGTGGGGGGACAGGAGATTTTACGGGGGATTTTTGGGGCCAGAGTATGCATTCTACCGTCACGGTGTACAACGCTTAATGTCACTCTGCGTACAGCTGTCGCCCTCGCCTTTATGTATGCAATCGGGCAGCGACTTTCTCTTTGCACGCGTAGCTCAGTCGGTAGCGGCGCCGCACCTTCAATACTTGTCTCGACAAGTTCAACTCCTTGAGGAGCATATTTAAACGGGATTTCGACAACATTATTTTTCTCATGTCCCCCCACCTTTAATTTCGAAAGTTGCATTGTAGCATCAGCACGGTCTTCCAATTTAATTGAAAACTAGAGAAAAATGTCTCTGCGTCTCTTCATCTCTCACGCTATTTTATCTCAGTACAATTTTTCACAGATTTGATTGGAAAACTGGATGAACAGCTAAGAAGATCTCAAAAACGTTCAAAGATGGATATTTTTAGAAAATTTACTTAAGGGTGATAGAAATCATATCCGAGATTATCTGTAAGAAGTTTCAAGACTTGTCTCAAACTATCAAGCAACAAATGAAGCTTTGAAAAACTTTTTTGGATTTCCCGAGTTTTTAAGCAACTCTTCTTGTTCTATGAGCAAATTAAGTTACTGTCCTGTTAGAAAACATAGGAAATTTCATATTTGATTGCTTTTTGCAAAAAAGACAACTTTTAACCAGATGAAAATTGCCTCCAAAGTCCAAAATCACTCAATGTACTACTGTTTGATCCCCTAACACCGGAACAAAGACGGAAATCAAAAATCGAAGACGAAGGAATTGTAGAACAATCCATTACAAAACTTTTGGTTTATTGATCATTATGATTGGTTATAAACTCGCAAAGTTATGCATAGTACAAATTTCAGTACAAAATTCCCAAAAACCCCCGATTTTTGACACTCTTTCAAGATTTTCAAAAAAATGAGGACCTAAATCAAAATTTGAAAACAAAGGAATTGTTGCAAATGTCTCTGCGGTATTGATGACGTTTATATTTTTTTGATTCCGTGAGAACCAGATGGAGTTATGTACGGTTGAATGAAACCGGTTTTTATCAAGTCAGTGCTCATTAATTCATAACTCTGCTCAAAATGTTCCAATTTTTATAAAATTTTGTGCAGCTGACAGCTGAAGTTTTCAGTAATACAACAAACAATTTTTCTTCTGAAAAAAAGCTCAAGTTTGTACTTTTTTTGTGATTTCCTTGACTCTAGTGATAAGTGTCTATTAGTCAAAAAGAAGAGAGAAGGGGGGAGGCGCGTGAAAAAATAAAATTTAGCTAGAGTGCAGACAGCGAGAGAACTATTCCAAAAATTTTCACTCTGGGAGACCGTGCATCAGTCCAAATATGACGTTCTGGTTGTCTTAGGTTCAGAAAACAGTCAGATCTTTATATTGAAAAAAAACAGACTTTGGTTCACCCAGGATAATTGAAAAAGTTCGACCTATTTATAGTTGACCAAATTAGTTTCTTACTCTGTCGTCGCCAGCAAATTCAGGTTGGAACTAGGTCAGATTATGGCGCGTCCAAAGTTCCCAAATCTGGGATTTCTGAGCCCAGAAAGTAGTCCAAAGTGACGCCCAGATTCCCAAGATTTGCAATTGAATAAAATTTTAACCAGTGCGACAATGTAATTTTTCGTTGCATCAAAATGTGCAGAAAATCATGTAGATTCACATAAAAATAAAGAAAAAACTCGAAAAAAATTCCTTCATTGAGAAAAACGGCATCGAAAAAAGACTTTTTTTCGGATAAGAGACCTGGCGTTTTTCTCAATGAAGGAATTTTTTTCGAGTTGTTTCTTTATTTTTATGTGAATCTAAATGATGTTCTGCACATTTTGATGCAACGAAAAATTACATTGTCGCACTGGTTAAAATATTGCCTAATTGGTAATCTTGGGAATCTGAGCGTCACTTTGGACTACTTTCTGGGCCCAGAAATCCCAGATTTGGGAACTTTGGACGCGCCATTACGGATAAGACAGATATGAACCCGACCAAACCTCGAGAAACTGAAGACAAGCTTTCTACGTATTCCAAATTCAAACTTCTGTTAAGAATGTGTCCATGGGCCGGTATACAGCGGTTTTTGGGCAAATTCCGACAAAAACCTGTCCCTTATCCGTTCAAAGCCCAAGCCATTTCTGGTAACTAAAGTCATTTGAAAAATTCAAAGCGAAACTTCATTCTAGGGACACAAATAGAAACAAATTACCGTATTTCCTATAATAGAAACCCACCTCTAATAGAAGCTCACTCTGGCTGTGCATTTTTCTTTTCGGTTAGGGCAGATATACTCTTTTTTGTTTGTTTTTCTGGAATGAGGTTGAAAAATAGAAGGTGGTTTAGTGATTTGGAAGCACGCATTCTTAAAGGGTGTAGCCCAATTTGATTAGGAGAGACAACGTGATTTTATCAGTTACAAAATGAAAGACGCTCAAGAGGAACACACTTGATAAGAACATAGTGTTCTACCGTCTTCGGATTTTAGGTGAAAGTAAATAACAGTTCGTACAAATCCATCAGAGTTACCCTGCTATTAAATGAAATACTTACCATTTCATACGCATCCAAATCCACCGACCTCTCACTAGACTGTCCGAAGGTATCAAATGAGAATGAGTCCCACAGATCGAAACGGATCAAAACGCCTTTGCCACCTGCACAAACACTGTGCACACTACAGATTCCCAAAAAATGAACACTCATACTATGCACATGAGCACGCCTGTTGTTCAAATGTAACGTTTTGAAACGATTTTCACAGACAGTTGAGCAAAGAAAGACCTTTGTGCTTTTCAAAAACGGTTGGAGTATAAAAGGGAATTTTCAATTTTGAGAAAGTATCCAGAAATGTCTTTCACTTCTATCCTCCTCACTATCCTTTCTGCTTCCATCCTTTTCAATGGTGCTTCTTCCGCAATCGTGGTGGATCTGAATTGCACTACCTATACCGCTGGAGCATTCGCCTGGACCCCGGCTGCTGTGGCGTGTGAGGACGCTATCGCTACTGCTTCTTGTCAAGCACTCTACACTGAAACGGAAGATGACGCTGGATGGCCAACCGCCGGAGGTGCTGAAGCCAGACCATTCTTCTGCTACGCAACTGAAGCTGATGCTGCTGCTCCAATGGTTCAAGATATGAAGACTGCTTCGATTGCCAACTGCCCAAAGACTTGTGGATACTGTTGCCAGACTGACGCCTACAACTGCCCAAATGTTCAATGTGAGATTTTCACTATATGTTATATAAATTCCGAGTTCCAATCATATATTAATTTCAGTCCCACGCCTCAACTGCAACACCATCACCCGCACCCAATGCAACACTGTCGCCTGGAGAACAATCATCGCTGAGGATTGCCCATCCGCCTGTGGATTCTGCGGACAAGGAGGATGCGTCGACGCCGTCACCAACTGCGGGAATGATATCTCCGTGTGTAACACCGTTGGTATGCAAGACTTCGTGAACCAATACTGCCAGAAGACCTGTCAAAGATGCCCATCCACCACTGCTGCTTCTGGAACCGTAACCTCTACTGGAGCGTCCACTGGAACCTGCACATCTTACATCGCTGACACCACCACTCAGTGCACCGCTTGGGCCGCCAACGGATTCTGCACCAACACCTTCTACACCGCCGCTCAACGTAGAGCCAGATGTGCCACCACTTGCAGAATCTGCTAATTTCTCATTGACCAACCCTGACTCTTTCACAACTGACACACATTTACTTATGTAATTTATTTATACGGACCTGACCAGTCCAGTTGTATAATGAAGTGACTAGTACAATATATGAATTCGTAATTTGCAATCTAGATAATTCCAAGGAAAAGGGGGTTCAAAAAAAAAGAGAATCGTTCGATAGTAATTCTTCAAAAAATGCTGGTAAAGCTACATTTTCTACCAACAAATTTAAGCTGAATAAACATTGATTCAAAAAGATCATGTCCACATTACAAATAGAGAATTGACCACAAGTGAAAAGATTGTATCCGGGAAAAATCACAAATATAAATTTAAAATTTTGCAATAGCCTAATAGACGAACTGCACTGTACAAACTGCACAAACTGAACTGCATGAACTTCTGTTAAAGGTTTCGCTTTTATGATTTTAAGCAGGTGGGCTTCAATTAGAGGTGGGCTTCTATTAAAGGGAATACGCTAATTGAAAGCCATCATTAGTTCAGTTGCCTGAAACCTGTATTAGTAAAGCCGGTCGTTCTATTATTCGTGGAGTAGAATGACAATTCAATCAGAGAAGCCCTTCAATTAGAGAGGGCACTCGTACTTTTTGTGCGGTCGCTTAGAAGGCCCTTCTATGTATTAAAGGGACACCGTTTTTCGGTGAACTTTTTGTTGTTTCTACTTAACGTCGATAATTTCATCATAACCTCCATAGGAGGAACTTCAATTAGTGGGGCCCTTCTATTAGGGTGTTTCATAAAAAATGTTGTTTATGGAACACCCTAATAATACAGGGTTTACAGTAGTCATGGAAGTAATATACTTTTATGAGTTTCATGTGTTTTCAGCAGAAAATATAAATAAAGTCACTGTGTTAAGACATCAGCTAGAAGTCTACATTTCGAACTACATAAACTTTATTTAAATTGTTTTTTTTGTCAGAACCTAGTCGAAAACTTCTGTTACTATCGTGTTTCACATATTGCTCTACTCTGCAGCAAAATTTGAATATACGATTTTTGAATCACTCCATATTTTTCACTAGCTTCTTCGACATTGAATTAATTCATTCACAAATTACGAATTCATATATTGTACTAGTCACTTCATTATACAACTGGATTGGTCAAGTCCGTATAAATAAATTACATAAGTAAATGTGTGTCAGTCTTGAAAGAGTCTGGGTTTGGTCAAAAAGAAATTAGCAGATTCTGCAAGTGGTGGCACATCTGGCTCTACGTTGAGCGGCGGTGTAGAAGGTGTTGGTGCAGAATCCGTTGGCGGCCCAAGCGGTGCACTGAGTGGTGGTATCAGCGATGTAAGATGTGCAGGTTCCAGTGGACGCTCCAGTAGAGGTTACGGTTCCAGAAGCAGCAGTGGTGGATGGGCATCTTTGACAGGTCTTCTGGCAGTATTGGTTCACGAAGTCTTGCATACCAACGGTGTTACACACGGAGATATCATTCCCGCAGTTGGTGACGGCGTCGACGCATCCTCCTTGTCCGCAGAATCCACAGGCGGATGGGCAATCCTCAGCGATGATTGTTCTCCAGGCGACAGAGTTGCATTGGGTGCGGGTGATGGTGTTGCAGTTGAGGCGTGGGACTGAAATTAATATATGATTGGAACTCGGAATCTATATAACATATAGCGAAAATCTCACATTGAACATTTGGGCAGTTGTAGGCGTCAGTCTGGCAACAGTATCCACAAGTCTTTGGGCAGTTGGCAATCGAAGCAGTCTTCATATCTTGAACCATTGGAGCAGCAGCATCAGCTTCAGTTGCGTAGCAGAAGAATGGTCTGGCTTCAGCACCTCCGGCGGTTGGCCATCCAGCGTCATCTTCCGTTTCAGTGTAGAGTGCTTGACAAGAAGCAGTAGCGATAGCGTCCTCACACGCCACAGCAGCTGGGGTCCAGGCGAATGCTCCAGCGGTATAGGTAGTGCAATTCAGATCCACCACGATAGCGGAAGAAGCACCATTGAAAAGGATGGAAGCAGAAAGGATAGTGAGGAGGATAGAAGTGAAAGACATTTCTGGATACTTTCTCAAAATTGGAAATTCCCTTTTATACTCCAACCGTTTTTGAAAAGCACAAAGGTCTTTCTTTGCTCAACTGTCTGTGAAAATCGTTCCTAACCGTTACATTTGAACATCAGGTGTCTAGTATGAGTCTGTTTTTCGTAGCAATCGTTTTTCGGAATCTGTAGTGTGCACAGTGTTTGTGCAGGCGGCAAAGGCGTTTTGATCCGTTCCGATCTGTGGAGCTCATTCCCATTTCATACATTCGCACAGTCTAGTGGTGGTGGATCTGGATGAGTATGAATGGTGTCATGCCCGTGCGTCATCGTCCCTAATGACGTCAAACCGTTTCTAGAAGTTTCTATGTGCTCCCGGATCCTACTGATAAGAGTCTGTATTTAATCCTCTGCTACCGACCATTCTTGGTCGGTGACTCTCCTATCTTTTGTTTTAATTGATTATGTTCCTTAAATAAATGATTCTACTCATGAAGTTAGAGTCTATAAATGAAGAATCAGAACGTCTTCCGCTACCGGCGTTCAGCCTCTTTACAATGTTAAGTGGTTATGTACTTTATTCGGAGTGGATTCTCATGCATATGTAGTTTTAAGCTTGATCATTTTTACAATGTTCACCACAGCCTATCTGTTTTTTTCTTATAGGGAGCTGATTTTTTCCTGAAACGTAGTCAACCTCATTATAAGTTTCTTAAAGCATGTTCAAATTCACCTTTAAAAATTGGAAACCACTTTTGAGAAAAAACTTAGTAGTAATACACTAGTCACGATTGGAATAGTCAGTTCCAACAATAAATAAAAGTATTCATGTATGGTCTAGCTCTAGCACTTTCTAGCAACTTCTGCAAGTGGTGGCTCATCTGGCTCTGCGCTGACTCCCCAAAACGAATTCCTCTTTTCTACCCACTCAGTACGGAAAATAGCACAATCAGTTTCAAATTTTAACAGGGCTACATCAAAGAGATTTGTAACAAAACTAAATCATAGTTGTTTGTTTCCGGCAGCTCTGTTGCTAAAATCGGGGCTCAACTTCTTCGGATTGCGTTTATGCTGGCACGGGGGTAGTCTGCCGGCAAACGGTTCCATTCCGTGGAAGGAATATTTTTGAGAGCATCTAAAACTGTCTTAAAACAAACTTGAACATATTGTGTCGCTGCATAAAAACCCCTCATCGTATTGTTATCTGACTAGTGACAAGCCATCCTTTCTCGGGGATCAGATTGGAGAAATTGGCTTGGTACTCCTGCTAAACATGTTTTGCAGTCTGAGCAGGCGCTATATATCTTTGGGATGTCTAAATTTGCTATTCAAAGTTAGATTACGAATTAGGCAGTATGATTTTCACTAAAAGTAGTATTCTTGGTACACTTGCAGAACTGGCTCCACCAAAAACAGTGGTTTTTCACCAAGTGATTCCTTCAAAACGCATGGTTTGCAAAATGTTGGCTGCCCAGAGAATCAACATACTATTAGTAGTATAGTAATGCAGGATTACAGTACCGTTTTCATTCGCTTTATACCTTCATTCTCTGGGTGAGGAAATGCCGTGTGGAAAACTATATTTTAAGGAGAGTAATAATTGGAGTGAAATACAGAAACAAGTTTTAGAGAATTCTTTCTTTGGATTTTTAGAAGTGGATATTGAAGTCCCTAAAGATAAGTGGAACTATTTTAGTGAGATGTGTCCAATCTTTGTAAATAAGGAATATGATGAAACTATCTGTGGAGATTATACATTAAATCTTTTGGAATCCTTAGAAAGAAAACCAACAAAAAGTAGAAAGTTAGTTGTTTCACTTCAAGCCAAACAAATATTAATTAAATCTACAAGACTGCGGTGGATGTTAGAACATGGTTGTGTAGTTACAAAACTCTATGGATATATTGAAGCTAAACGGAGAAGAATTTTTAAAGGTTTCATGGATTGGGTCTCAGATGAAAGAAGAAAAGGTGACGTTGACTCAAAGTATGCAATCATCTCAGAAGGTGCTAAACTTGTTAGTAATAGACAAGAGTTCGAGTCTCTCTTTTTTTTGTAATGTTTTTTTTCACTCGGGGGACGTTCGGTTAGCTGTGAACCCCAAACACAGCTTCTGCAAGGCAGATTAACTTTGAGTGTTGTGGGAAATTGATGTCGCGAACATGTGGCCAACATGTCAAGGAGTCTACCCGTCTTTCCTAGTAGACCGAGCAACACCCGTCGGTGTCCGTCTTTCCTATTAGACCGTGCAGTAGATTTCCTTCTCTGGCGTTTACCGCCTGCGCCATCTGTCCCACATTTGAAAAAGCTCTCATTGTCGAATATAAGTGTTACTGATAAGAGGGGTAGTATGGAAAATGGTGACGTATGGAGAGTGAAAAGAGGGAGAAGAGGGTTAGGGGGTTCAGCCCACCTGTCATAATAGACGTCAGCGGGATGAGGGACAGTGTTTTTTTTCTTTTGAAGTTATTCAAAGTTTTTGATGATTTTATCAAGAATTTGCCTAAAACCCTTCCATTTGGAGGGGTTTTTTAAAATGGGAAAAGTGGTATTATTTTCGTACTCGGAGTACGATTTTCGTGCTCGCCTAAAATGGGTGTTTTTCAGCTAATTGTCTTGATAATTTAAGGAAACAGAAGAGAAACTGGAGAAATATGGGGGAAAATGGAGATTTTAAAAAATGGGGGGGGGGGGGG